CGAGGATGGTCAGTACTCGCTGCCGCGCAGCGGCAGCGGGTAGCGGCAACGGGGGGCAACGGAGACTCCGAAGCTACTGCCGCGCTTGTTGTTGGCCTTTGGGGTGCGCGAGGGCGGGGTGGGCAACCCGAACCCTCCGGTTCGTATCTGCCTGGTCGAGGAACAGGAAGGGGCGAAGCCTCCTCGGATTCTGGACGGGATCACTCCCATGCTGACTGTCGCCTTTGCCCTCCCCCCGCCGCCGCCGCCGGCGGTGGCCGGGACGACGAGAAGGTAGCAGCCGCGGGAGTCGAGAGCCGCCAGGGTGGCTTTGACGTTCGTTCGGTCGCTCTCGTGGATGCAGATCTTGAGGACAAGGTCGTTCGGGAAGAGGGGTACGTGCCACGCCGTCCGGTAGAGCAACGGCGAAGAGGGCGGCTGCCGAGAGAGAGGACAAGGGAGAGAGAAAAGGAGAGGGAGAGAGTGTGAGTGAGTGTAACAAAGAGAAGGAGGGAGAGACAGACAGAGCAAGGATGAAACACACTTGGATGAAGAGGGGTACGTGCGCGAGCAAAAACATTGGTCGGGCGGGGGGGAAGGTGTAACCATGAACCGAATGGCGTACGTGGAAAGAGGGAGAAGCAAGCACAGAGAATGGTCTCGAAGGCTTCAGAGGGGGCTTGGGAAGGGGTGTAAGTCGCGCTTATTGCCTTCGAAAGACATCCAGGTACATAATCCGCGCCCATTTGAAGGGGGACACAAGTCAGGGAAACCTGACGCGTTCCAGCTTGAGAGAAGATTCTGCTCGACTAGCTTCCACCTCTCGCCACACAACACTAATCGTCGCCAACGAACGACCTCCCGAAAACATCAGTGGCATCGATTTTGCCCTCAAGAGTGTGGAGTGTGGAGCGAGGTCGCCCACTCCAGCCCCTCAACCCTCCCTGTGTAATGTGAAACACAGAGATGCGGAACTACCGTGAACTACTTGCAAGAATGAAAACACCCACCCACACGTACACACCCAGGCGCGCGCCTCCCCTGCCGGGGAAGCCCGATGACTACTAATGAAAACCGTGTTCGCGTTCTATATCGGGATAAGCACTCAAGTCGTGTCATCATCGGTCAGTCGGTGATCGCATCTATGCGGAATAACGAAGTACACAACGCACAGTAGAAATTGTGCCCGTGTTCTCTATTCCGCTGTAAGACACGCGTTTTCATTGGTCAGCCGGCTAGCGCAATCGACGCAAATCAAAGGACCACACAACACACATACACACACGCTGACACCCCTGTCCAAGACGGGGGTGTTCAAACGTCGGATGAGGCTACCTAGATCGACCAACTTCCACCAGGGCGCAATCGGTTGGGATCTCTGCGACAACGATAGAAATGAGGGCAATTCTTTTGGGAGTGACGGAGACGAAGGAAAGGGAAAGGGAAGAAAGGAGGACGAAGACGACAATGGAGGAGGAAACTATGGAGGGGTGGAAGAGAGCAAAGGGTTTGAGCCAAGTGACCTTCCTCAAAACAAAAAGACGCAGGGTTAGGGAAGAACTGTCAAGAGATTGTTATCAACATGATGATCAGAAAATGGGAGCGAAAACAAGGAGCATAATGGTGAAAGTACTCCTTAACGAACTCGAGTACAAGGTAATAGCCTTGGTAGACGCGTGCAGTTCTCTTCTCTTGCTACCGTTTCTGTCTTTGATCCGAAGGATAGTTTACCCTTCTCCATGCTGCCTCCTTACGGGGTCCCAGTTCATGGCAGATAGAAGTGTTTTTGTGTTTTCAACTGCACTGAGACTGACGTCTTTTCATTGGTCAGCCGGTTAGCGCGGAAAATTCAAAAGAAAAAACAATCACCTGCTGCCTTCTTCGCTGCCACTCTAGGAGGCTGCAGATGAAGCCCGTGTTGGGCGCGCAGATCGGCCTGCCCTGGCGCACCCTCAGGTACGCCTCGTCGTAGTCTACCCCCTTCGTGAGCATCAGCCACGCGATCGCCAGCGTGCACGACCTGGGCGGGAGGGAAGAGAGGCGAACGCTCGTGTAAGAGACATGACAGTCACGTCTCATGACCATGGTACCGTGGTCGCAACGACAAGCGTAACCACGCACTCAACATCGCGCTTGCGTGTATTGCCGCTGCTGCTGCTGCTTTCAACCAACAAAAGTCCGTTATCGACCAAACCGCAAAATTCCTCAATTTTTTTGCGGGAACAGAACAAATCACATCCCCCTCCGGCCGTCCCTACAGATACCCCTTCTGAGACCAGACGACAACGAACGCCAAAACTCACCTGGAAACCCCTTGCACGCAGTGCACTAGCACCCTCCCTCGTTGCTCCTCCGCGGCCTTCATGAAGTCAAAGGCCTTGTACATGAACCACGCACAGTCCTCCGTTCGGTGGTCGTAGAAGTTCAGCCGCAAGAAGTTGAACCGCCCAGTCTGTTCGAAACAGAACAGAAAACGGAACAAAAATTAGAGCGAGATGATGAGCAAACGGAGCAGATATTAGAGCGAGTTGATGGGAGCTACAGCACAAGCCACACGCGATACAAGTCAACACCACGTGCCGCAACGCTCAAGTCAAGCCTACGGCATGCCCAAAACATTGGAGGGGACTGCTCGCGTAGGCGCAAAGTGATCTTGTTGGCTCGCTGTGAAAAGGCAGGGTTCTACGCAAAATACGATGGACAGATCTCACACGTCTCTAACGATGCAGCCTGAGAAGGCCTGCTTTCAATCGCCACCTACGTACAAAAAGCAACGCAGGGGGGTGATCTCCGAGTACACTCTCTGCGTAGGTAAAACTCACGATATACTACATTCAGAACTCACGGAGTCGGGGAACACATCGGCGCAACTCTTGGGGGAAATCGGCTGTACAGCATTTGTCCCCGCTTCAAGCAAACATACCATAACCTTGGTTTCCTTCCAACGAAAGTGTCGTCGAGGCGTGGACTTGTTACTTAACAAAGTACTTGCATCTATACTGACTATTTACTCTGCGGGGCACCATTCCTCTGAAAATCATCGTGTCCGCAAGGCGGGCACGGCTGTACTTGGAAACGAATATCGGACACAGGCGGGCGAGCCTGGCAACCGCCGTTACCAGGAAAAAGCTTCCTCACATATTCCAGATAGTTTGGGCACTGAGGCCCAGCGCAGTTGATGATGTGCGTGATGCCCTTGCTGGCCACCAACCCCTGCTGCTTCGCCGCGTCTTCGCCCGAGACGTAAAGAAACGAGCTTGACACCTGGTATTTTCGGGGCATGGTTCATTGCATTGTAGGGCAAGCTAGCCTGTGACCACGGATTCGACCGCGCCAAGTGATAGATGAGTACCAACAGATGAAGGTATGCATACAACACTGGATAGAGGGGTCGGAACGGTTCGTAACGCCAAGACAACAATATTGTCGAAAAAGTCTCCAGTATAGGAGGGGAAGCGCGGTGGTCAAAGAGAGCGAGCATGCATGTACTGCCGAGGATGCGAGGGGTGAAGAGAGCGCCGGCGATCAAGTCAAGGATTCATATTTACGTGTGAGCTTCGGATGTCGAAGGTGGCTCACGTCAGATCCAATCTCGACATATATGGTATGAGACTTGCGGCAGCCTCATATGAATAAAGCTTATCAAGTATGATAGTTGTAGACGCCGCCGCCGCCGCCGCAGCAGCAGCAGCAGCAGCAGCGCAAATAGAGAACGTGAGCATACGTGCTTGACAGTGTACATGTAGTTGTGTAATCAGTGTTGCTCCTTATCACTAGCGCTGCGCCGTTGCGTGTCGTGCCATCGTCGCAATACAGAAATATCAGACGATCAGACAACACTTCATGAACGGAGGATGCGCAACAGAAGTCGCAGCACTACTGTCACTAGTAGCAGCAAGATCCTTCTTTTGTTGAGACCGGTGCTACTATGAAATCAGTGCTTCTTTGATGTACCTCCCCATAGAAAGCCGAGCATCCCACCCCGTGCCCGCCCGCGACCGAAACGCCTCTATCAACCGAAAGTCTGTTCTACGTCACGTCAGACCGAATGCGACACTGCTTGTTTGTCTTTCCACATCAGTGGATAGAACGTAGCGTATCCAGATTTTCTGTCGCAAATCGCAAAACGCGGCTTTCGAACGGCCGCCCGAATTATCTTGCCGCTCCCGTGCTGTAGTGCAGTACATCCACACGAAGGGTGCCCGGTCTTGGCGCGATGTTGCTACAAGATAAGGTGTGTTTTGGTCTAGCGGCGCACCCCCGCTCCCCTCCTCCCTATTCCTTGGAATATCAGAAGCACAACGGTGCTTGATGGCGGTGCAGCTTGAATATAGTAGCAGCCATGTTGGCAGGCACATCGAAATCAAAATGTTCAAGGTGCGACTCATCGCACAGGGCGCGTCACAAAAGTATCGAGGTTATCGCACGGGGGTGAGAACCCCCCCCCCAAAAAAAAGAATCGGGCATGAGGTCTAGTGCCATCGCCACTGCTGTTTCTAGGCCACATAATGCGGCGCAACCGTAGTAGGTCTGATATTTCGCCGCTTCATAGCGCTCCGCTGTTGTGTTTGTTGTGGCACCGTCGTGGACCACATGTGGAAATGGAGAAGATTTTCTTCACTGAAAGTAGGTCGAAGGGTATATCCTGTCACTCCAAACCAAACTGCGCAGAAAATGTTTCATGAAGTGTGGCTTATAACTGGGCACTATTGACGGAAAAGAACAAGCGAGGATAACATGCCAGCAGCCGAGAGAGCACAGAGTGGTATGGCAAAACAATGCGCTCATGTTGATAAAGCAGGCACCCACACCATTCCTTGTTCGTGGCGCCTGAACAACGCATTACCAACCTTGCTTGGCACACTACCCGCTGTAAAATCACACAGGCGTTGTAGTGATCACCCCTCCCTGCTGGTATGTATGCGTGTCGCGTCATCGCACCCATCGCAGCTGTCTCACACGGGTGCTATGGAAGATCAAATCACCCAGAATCGCCACTATTTAGTGTACTCTGGCGCTGTATCCCAATTGGCACATCGGAAGTATCCGGGCGTGCGCGTACTGGTATGCATAGAACCGGAAGATTAAATTCCGCAGAGTTGTATGGTACCGGAGCGCCATCGCACTGGGGGGCGATACAAAAGCTAAGCAGGAACGAAAGGACTTTGAACACAAGCGATTGCACAGGGGTGCGCCGAGAAAGTAACATTTCTACCACCGCCGTGAAGAGGCTTTTCAAGTTCCGTAATCCTACAGCTGATGCACGCGTACCTCTGTGCATGCAGCGTGGGGGGCGGGGGGTTTATTGCTGTTGTGCACGGGTTTTGATGGCACAGATATGCTTTTCCGCGCAATCAGTGAGAACAATGTACTTAGGATTGATTGCCCGTGTTGTGTACGCGAGGATGTTCAAGCTATGGAGGGAATCGTCAAATAAAAGTTTGATAAGACGAGTGGGTTGCACTGCTGGGAACAGTTTTTATTTTATTTTCTTAATACGACACAACGAATCCATCTCTATCTGAGAAAAAGAGTCTGAGATAGATTAGCAATGAATCCATAGCGTCAGAGGAAGGCCACCTGTATTTCCACGATTTCCCTAACAGCACACAAAGCGACATCTTGTAACTTTTTCTTTTTGGTTCGTTGGGCTGGCTGTTCGAGTCAAAATCACATCAGCTGTGTGAGCTTGGGAAAACGTTACACTGCAGTTGGCAGGCAGCTGTGGTTTGGGTTGTGTCCTGCTGCCCGCTATACATGGATATTTTCATCTTGCATCCCCGTTCGACGACACTCTGGGCTCTCATGTAGCCCGACAAGCCTACTCGAGAGAGACCATTTGAAATATTTTGAATGTTTGAAATATTGTTTAATTTGATTTTTGGGAGACATCCTCGCCAGGTGGGGATGCACAACATGTCAAATATGTTGCTATTTAGTGCTGTACCTTGTAGTCATGTCCACGGATGGAGGCGAAAGCGAAATCGTTCTGCTTTCTGCTGGCCGAGTACGGGAACAACATTCATTGTACCATTGATAAGAAAGAACACCCGTTCGAGGTAATATATGGTATACCCCGTTCGAAGTTCTGATGGATGCGTTGAAACCCATTGTCAGCACGGTTGACGGTTAAGAGGGAAACCCGCTGGAATGGACTGGGCGTATTCTGAGTCGGTTAACTTGAGAAAGCATACATGCTTGCCGAGGGGCGTACTGTAGCGCCTCGTCCGTGTACCACCCCAAGAGCGCTGATGCAGCTATCCAAAAAGTCGGCCGCAACTATAAAAAGTCGTGCGTGTATTATGTGTGTACAGCAAGCGGACGGGCTTCGCACCCCGTCATATACGAAACTACACGGGCGTATTGCTTGCTGTCGGATGATTGCGACTGCCACTGCTGTCTGCTTTTGGCGCACGACCCTGGGGCGGGCTCTCCGAATGGAGACGATGCTGCCCAACGCTTACAGAAAACGGATGCACCAATCAAACGGCTCCCAAAGGCAGCAGGCGCGCAACAGAAACACACCGAATTTCTAAAGTACTAGATGGTACTCGTTTTGCGTCTTTACCTTTACACGCAACAAACTGACGAAAAGTGTTTGTAAACGGGACGGCCGGCACGCCAGGGATGTGATGTCTTGCTGTATGTGCATCCCGATGGTTGGCAGCGCTCTAATTCGCCGTTCGAGCGAATAGATAATGAAACGACGGGAAAAATATTTCGCGGGAACCGGAACGTGCGTCGCGCGGTTGCTACCTTCGCGTCTGTTCGTCAAGATGCTCCGGTGTATTCGGGAAGGCCGCGCATCGCAATCATCCATTTTCAAGCACACAAGAGACAAAAAAGCTGATCCCAGCTTGCGAGCAACAGGGAGAGGGCGCGCCGCGTGCCTCGAATAGACGAGCGCATAATGGCTGAAAAAACCGCGTTCTTCAGACCTACGCTAACATATTCCGTGAGGAACCTTACCCGCCGCTTGAAAAAAATGAAGCAGCGTTTTTTCTTTAGCAAGAAGAAGAAAGCGGCAACAGACATTATCGGATCGGAATTGTACATTCGAAGAGAGAGAGAGGACAGCTACCAGCAAATGATGTATAAACACTCGCGGGTTATTTTCACGACTTGCGAACGGCGATGGCCCGCCACTGCCTCTCTACCCCACAGAAACACGCGTCGGGAAAGCTCCGGGTCTGCCTTGTTGAGACTGAGACGTGACTTTTGAAAATCGCGGGAGCGGGGAGGTCTAACGGACCAACTCTCGACTTTACAAATTGTGGGCGACTTTCTCAAGAGGGAACGTACAGCGCGCGTGAGAGAGAGGAAGCAAGAAAACTTCAGGGTAGATACAGTCAACCACGCATGCCTTTCCTTGCCACCATTTTCCAAGACGCCCCCACTGCACCGCTCTTGCGCTTGGTCCGCGAACTACTGCCCAGGTTTAAAACACGCACGCCATATTAACCCTCCTTCGCACCATCCCCGATACGAAACCTTCGCGCCCTGTCTGAATCCACACTATATCCAAGAGACGGAGAAAAACTGGGTGGCAAATCAAAAACGACAACAACAGCGGGTCGGTCAGTCAACGCATATTTCAAAAAACCCTTCCCCGGGTGCCCACGCGCCCGCAGACCCCCACCCACCTCGCTGCACTCGTATCTGTACTTCTCCAGCTTAGCCCTCTTTTTCTCCAGCTCCGTCGGCACGCAATCCCCCCCGGGCTCGATCGTCAACGGCATCAGGCCTCGTGGAGGAGCCGGACTCTCCGCCGCCGCTGCCGGCTGCGGTTGCTCGACCATCGCAGCAGCGGCAGCAGCAGCGGCAGCAGCATTTTCGTCCTGCCTCATCACCGCGGCTCCCGAGACCGCGCAGGCGCCGCGCAGCACGCCCTCCTTCGGCATCGAGTGCATGGACGCCCGCCTCGAGCCGGGGACCGCCGGGGACACCAGGGCCTCCCTGCCTCCTGTATCGGCGGGGATCGAGAGCGATAGCCCGGGGCGAGACCACGAACTTCCTGCCGGGTTGAGGTGCTCCTCGGCAGCGCTCGTCTTGACGGGGCTGTCGCCAACCCCTCCCGCGGAGGGGAACACGTCCACGAAGTCGTTGTCCATGCTGCTGCAGGCACGGGGATCCGGGGTCTGACCTCTGCAGCAGGGCTGTCCAACGCCCACACCTCGCAGCCCGCACTAACGCTCACTCTCTTGTTCGTTGTGTCTAGAGAGGCGGGAGGGGTTGGTGGTCTAGAGGGATATAGACAGCGGTGAATAGCCCCCGATCGTAAGAACGCTTCTGTATCGAACTCCTTTCTTTTTTTTCGACTGTGGATTTTTTTTTGAATTCCAGAAGGATACGGCGGACGGATGGATGATAGATCTCGTACACATTTCCCGCTCTTCTTCTTGTCTCTCCACTCTCCCTCTCCTTCCTTCTCTTCCTCCGTAGAGAGAGATATAAGATATAATTGCAGATGTCCCTGTAGGGGTGATTGTTGTTGTTGCTGTTGTTGTCTTCGCATTCAAGAAGGCAGTCAGGACCGTTCTGTGTTTTGCCAGGGAGGCCGTATGAGGGACGCACGGACCGGGACCATGCACTCTTTTCACCGCCACCAACAAACCAACCCCCAGCCCAACACCACAAAAGTCAGAGGCCCCGTGAGAGTAAACAAACTCCGGTCCCTTTTCGCGGGGGAAACAAACACCCACACCACATCCAAAAGATCTCATCCACAGGCGATGGTGTGGTCTACCCTCCATCCAGGTTGATTGACATCATCATCATGAGCTGGACAAAACATGTGTTTTGTGTCACAGCCTGTTGCTTGCATTGCGTGTTTGTACACAAGAAAATCTTCTTCCTTCCGTGTGTTGCACGCATGTACATGTATGTATGAAATGTATGTCGAATCACACATACATGACGTGCATGCACAGTGTTGTCGGCCCACGCATGCATGTGCGGCACGTCTTCATGTCTCTCTGTCGGTAAAGAAAGTGTGTTGAACAGAGAACGAATACTGCAAAACATGAAAAAAATCCAATGCGTCACTCTCTGTCATCCTGTCCGCCACGAAAGCTCCAAACTGCAAGCAGCACCGAATCGGTACAACATCGGATGACCACGTCAAGGGAGCGCCCTCAATTCAACCAGCTCTCACACAAAGTGCTGCACATGCACATACATACTGAAACTGCTTCTAACACGCAAGCACCATAACAACTCTCTCTGCGAATTCGTGAGGCGCGTTTCAGAAACAAGCACCCCCCTGGTTCGCCCCTGCATTCTCACAAATGGTATATCCCGCACATCACACACATTTATTTATTGTTTCACAAAATGAGACCCCTTCCAACATTGGGCAATAGTTTCTGTCAAAACCAATACCCCGTATCCCCTGTACCTGGCCTTCTATGTGTATAAATACTCCACAACGAGGGAAGCCCGCTTTCAGTCACTTACGTCGGGCTAGTTCTTCTTCTATTCTTCGCAAAGCTGCCGAACTCATCCACAAAACAAGCTACCATTTCTGGTAGAGAGAGTGCCTGAAGGGCGTCCAGTCGAGCTTGGGCTCCTAAGCGATCTCTTAACACCGCGTCCCCAGCCAAGAGCTCGAGGGCGTCCGCCAATGCCTTGGGAGTGGGCTCGGCCACCAAGATGCCGTTCTCCATGTGACGAACCAGCTCGCCGCTTCCCCCGAACCCAAACGTCACCAGCGGCACGCCCAGGAGCATGGCCTCAGGTCCAACCATCTCGAACGCCGTAGGGCCAGTCGAGGGTAGAACGAGAGCGGTTGCCTTTTGAACCTCACAGGGCACTTCCTCTGCCGACAGGAACCCCGTAAACCTTACGGTTGCATTGAGGTCCCGGGCGAGGCCCTGCATCGGCCCGAGCAGAGTGCCGTTCCCTACGACGACAGCTTCTGCTCGCCTTCCGCCGCCCTCCTCCAGTCTCCTCTGCAGTACCGCCACGGCACGCACAAACATACCCGGCGTCTTTTCGGGCACAACTCGGCCGACCATGATAAACTTCGAGGGCGAGGGTGAAACGCTTCCTCCGTCATTGACGCCAGTTGCGCCGCCTTCATCCTCTCCAAAGCTCCTTTCCGGGTATTGGGGATGACCACCCGAGACCTTCTCAGAGCCGTCACGGGCTTCCGCGTTGGTCAAGCGGCACGAACGAGCGGCGCTCAGAACTCCCGCGGCGTCCATCACCGGTTGGCAAACCTTGACCGACAAGCCTTGCTCGTTTCGGCTAACGGCCGGGGCGTGCGCGACGTAGTGAGACGGCCCGATGAGCTTGGTAGCCCCGCCAAACAGCGGAGACACGTGACTGCTGACAGCACCAGCGCCGAGGAGCACCACGCGAGTGCCCACTCTTGCCAACCGCGCTGCCTGCAGGAGAAACGCGTCGTTGTCTCCGCGCCCGTTGGACATCACGAGCACGTCGAAGGCGGATAGGTGGCGGTGGAGATCGAGGAGTGCTTGCGCGACGTCGGGGTGTCTCGACGTGACATCTTCCCACGTTGCCGCGCTCACGAGGGCGGAATGCAGGAGCTGGACCACAGTGGTGCCCTCCCGCTGAGCCGAGTCCCACATCTGTCGTGTACGATAATGGAAGGTTTCGTATGGTTGTTTTGTAAGTGCCAACAAAAACCAAGACGCCCGCCAGAGGGGAAATTGCTGACTCAACTGTGCACAGCAAAGTCTTGAGTTAGGAATAGTACCGTCAACTGCTGTGGTGACAGCTTGGATTTATGATGTCGCTCGTGTGTCGAGTCTACAGTATGCTGTCATCTTTTTCTGGCCGGGACTTATCAAGCCGAGGGGCGTGAACGTGGACAAAGACGACCTTCACCAAAGGCAAATGTAGCGTGCGAACTCTACCGACTGGGAAACTGCGAAGGTGGTTTACCTTGATTGGTGGCTTGATGCACAAACGAAAGACTTCGACAGCGTGCCTCTCGAACGAATCCTTCACAGGTAGATCCCCGGCTGCACACACGACGGCGCGGGGGGATGGGGGATATCTTTCTAAATAACAGTTTGTGCGGGCTGGGAACCTGGCCAAGAGAACCCTTCAATGGTGCCAAGCCCGGAGAAAAAAAAATCCTCTTTGTGAGATGCGCGATGCTTCAAGAGAAAACAAGTATTAATCATCGGCATGTGTATGGCCAATCACTTACTTTTCGGCATCTTGACACAGGGAAGAAGGGAAATTCTCCAGTATCAAGTAATACCTGGTGCACCCCCTACTTCAAGCTTTCCTCACGTGCACAAGATAGGTCCAGCATAGATGCTCGGAAACCACTGGGCATGTTCTTTGACAGGTGGAGCGTGCTGAGCTTGTAGCCATCCACGACCTGAAGATCAACAACAAACACGATACGACGGGGCTCGATACCGCCGTCCCCGCCCTCCGTTCCGCCAGCAGCGGCTCTGGAGGAAAGCGCACCCTCCTGTGAAGGTCTGCGCCGGACTACGTGTGTCTCTGCCGAGAAGACTTCGATAATCAGCGAGATCTGGGCGATGCAAATCTCCCCATCTGCAGGCCGGGTCCCCCGCTGCGGATCTTCCATCTGTTTGTCGAGCAGGCAAAACTCAAACACGTTTGTCCCTGCCCTAACGCCGTCGATGCTTACGCTGTCCAGCACTGTCGTTGCCTCGACGCCGTTGACCGATATCTTGACCCGTCGCGGGACTGTTTCCAAAAGCTCAGACCCGGCCGTGCCGCCATCAACCGTGCCAATCCTTCGCAGGCCTGCTACTTGTGAGAATCGAACGTGGAATGAGCTGTGGGAAGAACTGACGATAGAACCGTTCTGTTCGGATGTCAACTTGAAGCTTGACATGGCCGTCGCGACCGAACCATCAACACCTCCTTCGCCGGCAGTTTTCGGTAGTGGGACGACTGCTGTGTGCTCAGGCTCCACCAGGTCCAAAACCAAGCGCGTGGTGTGCCCTGCCGATGTACACACCACCTTGGCATCCCCTCCGAGAGATGAAAACATGTCCGCGTCTCGAAGTATGTGGGCCCACCATTCCTCGCTAACGAGGGCGCCACGGGCTGCAGCGGTCGCCGAGGAAGTTCGGGCAATGGTGGCTGGGCTTTCCATCGTGACAACGCAGTTCCCAGACGTGTCGTGCAGCATCGTGCAGCGCTCATCGTTGACGTGTGACCACGTGAAGACCTCTACTTGGATGTTCGCGGCCTGAAGGCGGTACGGTCCATTACACTCAGCGAGAGTGGCCGGGAGTGTCGATACCGAAACTGCTGTGCAAGCTATGCAATGATGATGCAAAAGGGCAGGCATGGCACACGGAAAAGGGGTGATAAGTATACTCAATGTTAAGGGTTGCGGTGCAGCGAGAGGACTGGTACATCATCAGATACTCTAGTATTGTCTATAAGCCTATAACGGCTACATCTCGATAGGAGAACCTTGATGGCAATAGATATTTTGTCTTATCTCTTATAGGATTGCTTACATCCTCCCCCGATTGCACCGTCTACGTTTGCATGCGTGGCGTTCTCTATCCAGGTGTTTATTATTCTGGGGGGGTACACTGCTACACAACCTCAACGAGTCCATCTTACATGTACCCGCAAACATAGATGTTGTGTACCCGACCCCGATCGGTTCACCCCTCGGGGCAACAGGATGAAAATACAAGTCGCCGGCGAAAGTCTTGCCTGGACAGGAGATGGCGACAGCGTTGCTGACCCTCTCAAAATCGGACGAATCACCGTCGTAAACGTTCCACATCGAGCTGTGCGCAGGAGGAAGGGCTGAGTCAACCTGCACGAACGCGGAACTCCGGTCGTAAGCCCCGCCTATCGTCCACACCCCTTGGATATCGTTGTATGTCAGCGCCATATGTCCACCAGTTTTTTCCGACGTGCTAATCCAGGCTGGTCTACCTTGGATCGTGTCAGCTTGGCCCTCGAGCAAGGCATAATCGCCATCTAGAGGTCCGAGGCCTTCGACAGTGACAATTGAGCAAGGTGCGCCAACCTGGGCGCTCGGAAATACCCGCTCGGCGGCAGCATCAATTCTTATTTTCGATATCAATGTATCCGATGGAGAGGTTCTACTGCTTGCTGTTGTCACCCCGATCGATGCCCACTTAAGGCACGCCGTCAACACAAGTCGAAACGATGAGGCGTTCATTGCATGTGTGTAAACGGGAAGAGGCGGGGAGTCTTGCAGAACGAGGCGCTGTCGCTAATGATCGCACGATCTTGTGACCTTTTTCGTTTGTTTTTTCATCGTCGGGACGGGACTGTAAAAAAACGCGACGCCGTGGAAACCCTGGATTTTATTTTTATTTTTGGATCTAGAGAATCCTGGGGGCCCTTGCCCCTTGCCCTTAGGTCTAGCTCTTAGGTCCGAGGGGCGCTCTGTCAGTCGGAGGGGGAAGGGATGCGACGCTAGCAAATCTTTTCAGCCGAGTCCTGTTTTGTTGGGAAACGGTTGGGTGCACACAACAACGAGAACTGCTGGATGGATTCAGCAGTCAAGTATAGATATTTCCGCTTGTTGGACAGCTAACGGATCCTATTCCCCCGACCATGCCTTTGTGGGGGGCGTCGGCGGTATGCTGCTGTACACAGGCTATTGGATTACTTTCCGCTGCGGTGAGTGTGAATACAAAGGGCACAGCAGTGCAGAAGGATCTTTATTTTGTAACAATAGAGAACTACAGTATTGTGGTAGTCGTTGAACGTACATGTGGAGGTCAGGATATGGAGATTCGGGGAGCACAGATACACGTACATAAAGAGTAGGATCTGAGAGGATATGTGATAATAGATTACCGTTCTTCGAGGGTCTATGACTCTTACGATTCCCAACGGCTGCGAAGAGTTGATGAATCTTTAGGAGAATGGGAAAAGGGTCCACGAAGGCTCGCCCACTCTCCTCGCCACCCTAGCTTGACTGAGTTCGCTCGGTCACGCTTGGCATTCCTCGCCATATTGCACCAAAGGAAATAGCCAACCTCCGGTGGCAGGACATAGCCACCACACTCCCGGACTCTCTGCTCAGCCAGAGTAGAGGGCTTCCATATACAGTCTAAATGGTACTCTAGATAGACTGCACCCATTATTGCATGTTAGGGCCGTTTTAATCGATGTCCAAAAATCCAAATTTTGTACAAATCTCCAAAAAAGCTCCGAAAATTTGGAACCCGCCGCTCCAAATTTTTGACATAAATTTGGAACGAAGTTGGGCCCGAAAATTTGGAGCCACTAGCTTCCAAATTTTGGAAGCCTTTTTGGAGCACTTTCCAAATCACCCTTACAGACGCACGCGCGGGCTGCGACGGCTGCAACACGAGTGCCCCTCACCAGCGACGTCTACAACACGAGTGCCCCTTACCATAGGAAGCCAGCTAGGGTTGTGTTTGGGGCATGGGCGACCATAGAAAGCGCGGCGCGGCTACAGAATGTAGTGGCTCCCTTCGCCCACGGGCACGCGCTCGGCCAACACACACCCGGGATGTCCTCGACAAGCTCAAAGCAATAGCGGCGATTGTGCTGGTGCTGACTGTCGCCACATCGACTGTCGTTCAGCGCCTAACACCCAAGACGCGGCAACGTATCCACGAGCCGTGACGGCTGGTTTGGGACGAGCACTTAGAAGATGTGAGGCGCAGGATTCTGTTCCGACGCATGTACAGGATGGAGGAGCACAGCTTCGACAAGCTCGCGGAACTTTTACGACCCATCCTCGAGCGCAACGACTTCTACGCAAGTAAGAGATATACCCACACAGGGTGCGTCCGCGCGTGAGGAAGAGCGAGTAGGGTTAGGTTTCGTCAGGGTTGTCTTGCCGTCGCGAACACAGCCGTCGGTTTGCACTTGTATTTGCTGCTCACCGCTGATGTCCGAAAGATGAATTGGCACCGCCAGGGACATCAGCAGCGCAGGAGACGCCTTGGAGATGGCATGTGCGCTGATGTCCGTCCGGCGATGCGCCTGACAAGTGCTTGGGCTTCGAATTTACCGGTACATCCATGCTTGTATTCTTGTTGGTCGCGTGGTGCAGGGTTGCGCGCGAGCAGTGGAGCTGTGCCGGTGAAAATTCGGCTGGCAGTTGCGCTGTGCATGTTCGAGGGGCGTCATACATCGATGTCGGCTTGCTGTTCGGCATTTCGAAGGAGTCCGTCTTCCACATCATGTGGCAAGTGGTGGACGCCATCAACAACACGCCGACGGTGGGGCCGTTCTTTTTTCCCCAGACACCAGAGGAGTGCTCCCGGTAAGCGAAGGAGTGGGAGGTCGGTGCATGTTTGTTTGTATCATAGGTGTTGTACTTTAGTCGAACATCGTATGTGGTCTCCCATGCACTTCTACTATTGCGGGAAGGGGATCTCTGGCATTTTCCCCTGCATCCCCTCACTCAGCAACATGGAAGCGAACGTGTTGTGGAGTCCAAGAACGACTCTTACAGAGTGAGCGCCTGTGTGTTGCATGACATTTCGTAAATACCCAGTCCTACACTAAA